TAAGTCGCAGAAAAGTGGGAGAGGTCTTAAATTAAAGGTCTTGACCCCAGGGACTCGGGAAAAATAGCAGAATTCCCATAAAATTACCAGAAAACGAGATATAACGTAAAATATCCACCATAAGAAATGCATGGGGACTGAAAAATGTCTGCATTCTATCAGCTGTTACTTATTTATTTGCACTGTTTACATTTATTCCGAAAGTCAATGTTGGTAAATAATGTTTCCAAATGAATTGTGTTTATTTTTTTTGTTTTCCGTTTTTATAATGAGTGACGTAACTAGACAGGGTAGGGGAAGACCTGCAAGACGTGGAAGAGTGTCCAGGAATTCAACAGACAAGAAATGTAAAAGAGAACGTCATGTAGGGCCTAACTGTGAAAGAAATCCAGAATCTGTCTTTAGTAGAACGCTGGAAAAAGGCCACAAATGGACATTTCAACGCATGTTGCCACAATGGACATGCCACAACCACAAGTAAATGACGAACTAACTGTTTTTACATGATTCGAACTTCATAAAAAACATAAGGCAAAACAACAGTGCAATGGCAATTGCGTCGCTTTCCGCTACACAAAAAGAGATTCCGGGAAATGGGCCTTACTGTCTTAAAATTCAGGGACAAATTCATAGATATACTGTATTTCTGACTTACCACCGCCGAATGGGGAGTTGCCTTCATAATAATTAATAATAATTTTAACCTTTACATTTGGTTCTGAAAATGGAAACTACAGCAAAATTCGTAAGATTACAAAACAAATTTTCAATTTTAAACTAGAGAAGATGTGCAATGTTTGGCTGTATGATTTCAGCTCTGATTCGTCGTTCTCCGGGCTCAGGCCAACCGTGTGCACGTTTCCATTTGTAATATGTTGTGTTATGGATTTAATCATTATTTTACAATTGTAGGCTATTTCATTGACACATTAGAAGCAACTAATATACGACTCCAACGGAAGGAAAACCAAGATATAAAACAAGAAACACTGTTAATTTTAAGTAACATAAAGTTGATAATTTTAAAAACATATTTAGAATATTTGTCTTTTTATATATGTTTTTTTTATTGTAGTCTAAATTAGGGGCTATGGCCCCTACAGGCCACTAGTATTTTATAAATTTAGTCTTGGGTTTAGGTGCCTTAACTGAATACACACAAAATATGAGATCATGCTTGGATACTGCTGGAACTGGAAGCTGCCCATGATGTACAATGTCTACAACATCTGATACTATTATTAAGTAAAGAAGAGTGTCAGACTCGGCAGCATGATGTGTAGGGTCAAGTGGGAGTATGTTAAAGTTACATGAGTCGAACAATGTAGTCAGTTGTCTGTATTCATAGTTTTCATTGGTTGAAAGAAGGTTAATATTGAAGTCCCCCATGATCAAGACATGACTGTATCCAAACAAACAATTTAAGAGAGCATTTTCAAAATCCAATAGATTGCCTGCTCTAGGTGGACGATAACATACACATAACAACAAATTCCCAGCCCCAGATAGGCTAACTTCAATAATTAAAAATTCCGGTTTTGCCGAGTACTCAGAGTGTGAGCAATTTACCAGTTTAAATTTGATTCCCTCCCTGATATAAACTGCAACACCGCCACCCTGCTTTCCAGTTCTGTCATTGCGCTGCAGAATATAACCAGGGAGGTTCACTTCCTGTGATGGAATACTCGGCTTCAACCACGACTCAGAAACTGCGATTAAATCAAAATCTTTGTATCTGAAAATCTCCTTCACCTCATCAATGTGCGCACGTAACGACTGAGCATTGATGTGCGCCGCCTTTAGATGCTTGGGGAAAGGAGATAAGGAGCGAGAGAGATAGTCGGCGGTAGACAGTGGGTGCTGAGGGAGGGGTGAGGGGGGAGTGATAAGCCGGCCGGCGTGACGAGCACTAGGAGGACGTGGACTCGCTATCCCGGGTCCACGGGTCGCAGCGCCACGGCAGACACATCACCGCGATCACTGACACATTCACACACACACACACATACACTTACTAAAAGTAAAAACAGACAACATAGTTTAAACTACAGAATTTTTTACACGTGCAACAATTTTGGCTCCTAAAAACATTGGTGATGAAGTTGTTGAAATATTAAATTAGGTATCCAAAATGTGAGTAAATAGTGCAATATAATTAATATGTACATAACGAAAGAATATATGATTTTCCTTTAGTTTAACTAAACTTAATCGGACACTTATAAAAATAAAATATTTTTCATGTTTTTTAAACAGATAAGACACAAAATAAATACTGAAATTAAAAATAATTATAATTAAACTAAATAAATGATTTGATGTAACATAAATAAAGTACTGCATGGTAATTATTTTCCTCAAACATAAATTAACTGATAAAAATATACATACACATACACATGCATAACACGCATACATACACACACAAAATACATACATACATTCACATAATATACATACATATTGTTATGATTTGTTTGGATACCAAAAATTAATTTAACGTTCTCAATATAATATCTTAGTGCATTTAAAAAAAATACTATTGTTCATCATAAAGGTAGAACCAGCCTATAGCATAAATAAAAATAAAATGTTATGAAACTAAAACATTCCTCTGAGATAAAAGTTTTAAACATAAAAATACCAGAATAAAAACATTTTAAAGCTGGGGAAATTGCATTTTAAAACATTTCGTTACCATGGGATGAAAAAAAAAAATATATTATAATTTCAAAAAATAAAATAAAAATTAATAAATATACAAATAATGTTATTCAGATTATCTCATAAATACCAGTCAAGGCTAAATAAATAATGTTCTTATCTGGGTGAGCTGGTTGAGCTGGTTGTAGTGGGAATTCGCACCTCAACCGGCAGGTCTTCTATGCGCGTTGCCACATTCTTCTTGCCGTTTTTGACCCACAGCACCCTGCCGTCAAGCGTCCAGACGTTCTTGGCGCCGTACTTCGTCGCAACTTTCCGGTACAGCTCCAGGCGACGATGCGTAAGATCCTCTGTTATGGTAATGGATGTTCCTTTAAGTTTCTTCTTTAAGTTAAAAGCTGACTGCCTTGTTCTGTAGTTGTTGAAACGAACAATAATCGGTCGTTGTTGGGCCAACTCGCCAGGCTCCAACTCCCGTTGTCGTCCAACACGATGTGACCGTGAGATAGCGTCCTTTGGCAAGTCAATTCCTAGTTTTTCCCGGCATAGTTGCACCACCAATGCATCGGTATCTTCGTCTGGAGTCTCTTCTACGCCGAAAACACGGATATTTTCCCTTCGCTGGTACTGCTCCAGCTCGTCCGTTAGTGTGATAATGTGTCCGTGAAGGGGGGATGTGTCCGTTAGTGTGATAACTCGAGCAAAAATGATCCGATTTTGATGAAATTTTGTACAAACGTTTAAACCTAAGTTTATTCGAACGAGTTCGCAAACCAGCATAATCGGACCATGGGAACGGGGGTTTATGTGGGGGTTTTATGGGGTATAAATGGGATTTTCCCATTTTTTACCCTAAAAACAAAAAAGTTTGCAATTTCTTTTTAAACTGTTTTGTAGAGCTTAAAAAAAAATTCAAAAATAGTATAATTTAAAATTCTCATGTTATTCTTATGGAGAAAATGAAAACTGTTGTAGTTTACTTATTTATAGATGTACTAGCTGTAACCCGCGGGCTTTGCCCCGTTTAACTTCTTAATTTTCAAAATTATCTCGTTCGCATGGCTCAATCACGTCCTGGTTGAAGTTTGTTCGCTACGCTCACTCACCTTTAGGTTGGAGCTCGTTCGCTGCGCTCACTCACCTTTAGGTTGGGGCTCGTTCGCTGCACTCACTTGCCTTCAGGTTAGCTCGTTCGCTACGCTAACTCGCCTCCAGGTTGAAGTTCGTTCGCTACGCTCACTCACCTTTTGGTTGCAAATTAGCTGTTGTCATAAATGTAAAAGAAATAATAGTGCTGCACCCTGTTGGTAATCCTTGTAACTTTAATGCTATTGAACATCATAGAACAGAACCAACTTGTTTTGTTGAAACAGCTGTTAAGATTCAATAATTCCATTTCTCATAAGGTTAACATGGGAAACTCCAGAGCCACTGGGGCGGAGCCCGAAAGGATTTTTGAAATAAGAATATGCCTATATGTTAATCGGGAATGTGAGCTATCATCATGCCAAATTTCAGCCCAATCCGACCAGTATTTTTCGCGTTCACTTGTCACAAACATCCAAACTTTCTCATTTATAATATTAGTAGGATATTGATAAAATTTGGCAAATTTATTTATTTCATCCTATAGTATCGACATATGGTCAATAAACACTTTTTACCTTCCCCGTAGCAGCAAACCTAAGCACTCGTTAAATCTAATGTTATTTAAAATGGTAATAAATTTTATGTCTTATTTATGGAAATATTTTAGTAAAAATGTAATCAGACAAGTTGAAATTCGCTTAGTCTGCAGGTTTGATGCGGCGGGGGTATTATTTTCTTTTCTTATGTGACATTTATAACAATCATAATCAATGATTATTTATTTATACACCACACTACCCCTTAGCTTTAGGATTCGTTTTACCTAACAATTGACTTAAACAATTTTTGTTTCAAAGTAAATACATTTATTACTACGTAAGCGTATTTTTAAAAACATAAAATCATATAGGTCTACATTCATTTTAATTTTCATGAGTGCATCATACCACTCTTACCATCCAAGGTACCTAGCCTAAATACATGCCTGTAAGTGTTCACAGTCTGAGTTAACAAAAACGGATTGTTATCAAGTTAAGCGGTACAGTTGAATTTTGTTTCCAAATTAAATGGAGAACAAAACAACCATTTTACGGCATTTCAAGGAACCAACATTTTTCTCTTCTGCATTTTGACTCCATTGCAAGGCACGGGTATAGTGGCTAGTATATAATAAATTTGGAACATCTTCAGATCGACCATGATTTTATGGATGGTTGTATACAAAATAGTTGTGGTATTATTTTCAGAATGCAGAGAAGTGCCTTCATCTTTCCTCAAGTATTGTTCGACTGGTTTCAATTGTGATTGGTGTCCAGACTGGTGTGCCAATGAGTGTAGACATTCCTGGCTACTTCTCCTAGTGAATGACACTTTATTGGCTGGCTCATTTACAATGGATATTGCTGTAAACTGAGTAAAAATATTGAACATTTTTATTTGACTGCAAATGTTGTTATTTAATGATTTCAGATTACAGATTTAACAGAGAATATGTATACTTGTTTTATTCCCACATTTTTAGACTAAGCGAATTCTACACTAATGTCTTTAATAAAGCAATAAAAAAAAATGTTTATAGATATAATACAAAATACAACTATTTCATCAATTTAACTCAGTTTCGTTCACAACGATCAACATCTATAACAAGTTTCATAAGTAAATTGGTAAAAAGGACATTACATACATATCCTTTGTATTGGTATTTTTCCTGTATTTGCTTGCTAATGTCATCTAATAAAACCCACAGTTCTGGATGAACCCGACCTTAAACCTAAACCAATTGACATGTTCTCAATCTTGGCCAGATTTTGCAATTCAGGCAGAAATAATCATACATGGATCCATACAATTAGCAGATGTAACTTTTTAAAGACTTGTCTGCTTTGAGAGAACTGCACAAATAGTTGTCACCATACCTTATGAGGTTTGTATTCTTAAATTTTGTATATTTAACATAATTATGAAAAGCATTGTTTTCAAGCAAGTGTTCTACATTCAACTATCTCAAAACATTGCCAGATGTAGTTGTTTGTGCGTTTCGGGCGTTTATTGTGTGTCTTCATTTTCTACAATTATCTGGCAGTTTTTGAGAATACATTCTGAAATTTTCCAATGACACTCTTATACAAATAAGGTATTTTCTTGTAAAATGAAAACACAAAAAGTACTTTGTCCTTCTTGGGCAATATTTTTTCCTAAGTCGTTGCCAACACAACAATCAATACATATTTGGTTTGATTTGATTACCATACAGAATAATTTGTAAATTAAAATACTTTTCAAAAATGCCACGTTTTTAAACACACTAAAAAGTAGAAAATAATTTATAAATATGTTGATATAAATATGTAAGATTTAAAACAAAAAACGTGGGGCGGATGCTAATTTACAATTAACTATTGAACTATTATGATCTATTGCATGCGCCCCCATGTTTTTAGTTTGAAATCTTACAAGTATTTATTCTCTCAACATATTTATAAATTATTTTCTACTATTAGCGAATTTCCCGTATAGGGAATAAGCTATTACCGCAGGTCTCATGGTAAGACCTAGACCCAGGACCGATTTACTTTTTCGTTTTGAGGTCCCCAGAGGCCAAAAACACCATCCGTTCAAATTCACATATATAGATATATGTGCCCGTTAGCGCGATAACTCAAGCAAAAATGATCCGATTTTGATGAAATTTGGTACAAACGTGTAAACCTACGTTTATTCGAACGAGTACACGAACCAGTATGATTGGACTATGGGAACGGGGTTTTATAGGGTAAAAATTGATTTTTCCCATTTTTGATCCTAAAAACACAAAGATTTATCATTTCTCTCCAAACCATTTTGTAGAGCGTAAAAAAAGAATTAATATTGTATATTGAATCGTTGTTGTATGTCCAATAAATAAACTATTGTAGTTTGCTTGTTTATGGATATATTTTAACCAAATTTTGAAATTTGATTTATTTCATACTAAGCTATCAACATTGCAATAAAAATACCCCCGCTGCAGCAAACCTGCTGACTTGGCGAATTTCCATTTGCCTGGGTTGATTTTTAATTATTAACTTAGGTAATCTATTCAATTAACATTTATGTTTAACGAGTAGGCCTACCTAGGTTAGCTGCTACAGGGAAACTAATAAAGTGTGTTTTTTATTAAATATCAATAGCTTAGTATAAAATACCCCCGCCGCAGCAAACCTGCCGTCTAAGCGAATTTCCATTTGGCTGAATTGATTTTCAATTGATCTATTGAAATAACATTAGGCTTAACGAGTACCTAGGTTTGCTGCTACAAGGAAACTTATAAAGTGTGTGTTTTAAGTAAAATAATTATTGCTTAGTATAAAATGAATATATTTGCCAAGTTTGATCAAAAGATATCCATAAACAAGCAAACTACAACATTTTACAATATTCTCCATAAGAATAACATGGGAATTTTAAATTTAATTTTTTTTTAGTTTTCTCCGTAACCAATAACCGTACAAAACAATTTGATATACTGAATTGTTTGTTTTTTTAAGCTCTTTAAGAAGGTTTAGAGAAAAATTGGAAAATTTTGTGTTTTGAGGGTCAAAAGTGAGAAAAACCAATTTTTACCCCATAAAACCCCCCATAAAATCCTGTTCCCATGGTCCGATCATGCTGGATCGCGAACTCATTCAAGTTTATCCCGCCTTACACCTTCAAACCAAATTTCATCAAAATCGGATAAAAATTACTCAAGTTATCGTGTTCACGGACACATATATATATAAATATATATATATATATACATATATAAAAATTTAAACGAATGGTGTTTTTGGCCTCTGGGGACATCAAAATGAAAAAGTAAATCGGTCCCGGGCCTAAGTCTTACCATGAGACCTACGGTAATAGCTACTTCCCTATAGGGAAATTTGCTAATAAATGAAATTGCCAAGTTTGATCAAAATTTATCCATAAACATGCCAACTACAACATATTATAATATTCTCCATAAGAATAACATGGGAATTTTAAATTAACATTTTTTTAAATTTTCTCCGTAACCAATGATCATAAAAAAACACTTTGATATACTAAATTATTTGTTTTTTAAGCTCTTTAAAAAGGTCTGGAGAAAATTTTTAAATTGTGTGTTTTAAGGGTAAACTATAAAACCCCCTGTTAAACCCCGTTCCCATGGTCTGATCATGCTGGTTCGCGAACTCATTCAAGTTTATCCCGCCTTACACCTTCAAACCAAATTTTATCAAAATCGGAAAAAAATTACTCAAGTTATCGTGCGGATGGACAAACAAACATATATATATATATATATAGATAGATATATATACATAAATAAATAAATAAGGTCTTTATTTGCAAGCGTTCATCAAAGTACAAACTCTGTTTTTCATGACAACTTTTGTCAAATTAAGTAAATAAAACAAATTAATAGTCTATTATTGTATTATATATATATATATATATATATATACAAATTTGAACGAATGGTGTTTTTGGCCTCTATGGACATCAAAATGAAAAAGTAAATAGGTCCCGGGCCTAGGTCTTACCCGGGGCTATAGGGAAATACGCTAAAATACAACTCAATTTCTTCCTTGTAGCAGCAAACCTAAGTTAAGTACTTCCTAAAATTAAAGTTATTTAAATAAGAAATAGATCTGACAATGTTTAGGGAATATTTTAGTAGAAATCGAGCCAGGTAAATGGAAATTCGCTTATTCTGCAGGTTTGCTGTGGTAGGGGTATTTAGTCTTTAATGTGTAAATATGTTGAATCTATTTTATATGGCCTGTTAATACATAACCAAAACCTTATTATCTGTAATCAGATGTTTTATCTTTACTTTGAAATGCTTGTTTTATATTAGCGAATTTCCCTATAGGGAAGTAGCTATTACCGTAGGTGGCACGGTAAAACCTAGGCCCGGGACCGATTTACTTTTTCATTTTGATGTCCCCAGAGGCCAAAAACACCATTCGTTCAAATTTTTATATATGTATATAGATATATAGATATATATATATATATATATATATATATAGATTTATATACATATGTGTCCGTGAACGCGATAACTTGAGTAATTTTTGTCTGATTTTGATGAAATTTGGTTTAAAGGTGTAAGGCAAGATAAACTTGAATTAGTTCGCGAACCAGCATGATCGGACCATGGGAACGGGGTTTTCCGGTGGGTTTTATGGGGTAAAAATTGGTTTTTCTCATTTTTGACCCCCAAAACACAAAATTTCCCAATATTATTTGATCAGTAGTCATCATTCGAATTTTCCCCCTTTGTGTGTGGTCGTGGCTTGATTTTAACATGTGCTAAAAACGCAGGAGACAAGGCTAATAATTTTAACAATTTTATTTTAATCTTCAGAGGAAAAATAAAGGTCTATGGCATGCTTAACAAATCTGATTTAAAACAATTATATCGTTAATTTAGTGGGAATCAACAACATCAAACACAACATCACGGACGAAAGACTCACATTTCCCCACTTTACCCGGTGAGAGGGATAGACGGCCGTGACGTCATAGTTCTGTAGGGGTTTTCGTGTGGAGTGTAACATTCACAATTTTATTGCCACTTTCAAATACAGAGGTTGGCCCCCTCATGTATCCCAAGATTTTATTCAGCTGTAGTGCTAGCCTACAGTCTGCTTGAAACCCAATAAATTGCAAGAGTGTTCACATTTTGCTTTCTGAAATTGAAGGAACTACAAAATCCCAATACCAGCCCAGCTTAGCAATTTCAAGTGAAAGCTACCTTCAGCTGTTTGGATGACTCATCAGTGCCTGCATTATCCTGTTAGCTGATATCAGGGGGACTGGGGTTTAGGTTTGTCTTGTTCTGGCAGTCATGGAAGCTTAAGCAAATTATTCACCCTTCAGGTTTCTGGATTAATTAAGGGTTTTACCGCTACCGCTATCGCTGGATTCTGGACCTGGACCTGGACTTCCTGGTGTCTCGTCCTACCTAGCCTTCTATCGCTGTATCGACTATCGTCTCAACCTACCGAGGATCTACATTGTTGAAGGACCTCGTGTGTGCCTTAGCCTATGGACTATCGTGGGTCGACACATTCGTACCAAAAGTAAGAATTTTCCAATTTGTACGATAATTATCTTTATCTGAGACCAACATAACTGCTGCAAACCTACATCATTGAGGATCTCGGACACATAGTTCTTGGTTGAACGATTATTTTTGCAGTGACTTTGCACTAGTACTAGTGAATTTTGATAGCATCAATAACACAGACAGTGACTGTGAGATCTACACCTGGACAGGACTCCACCTGATTTTGCCAGAATACCTAGCTGTAATTTTGTTTAGCTTAAGTATTGTTATATTTGTTGGGTATTATATTGTTGTATATGTCATAGTGTATTTAAATGTTCTTATGTGATTTTGATTCTTAGCTGGTGGCCACCGAATTTATTGATTTATATTTATTTATACTTGTTCTTGATTTATCAGTTTATT